TATTCTTTTTTGAATTGTCAGTGGTATTACCTGCAGCTGTTAATGATGGTACTTTATGCGGTTTGGTTGCTGTTATCTTTTTTTCTTTCTAATTTTTGTAGACACATTTGACATTTTGGTTACTGATGATAAGCGTTCAAATTTGTTTCTTATTTTAACGTTCTGCACAAATGGATGATTATGAATTGTTAACTGTATAATGACAAAACTGTTAATTAAATCAAAAAAAAAAAAAAAAATTTAGTTTGAATTATTGTTTCTACTGTTATTTTTTTCTCTTTTTTTTCTGAAGTTAGACCAACATTTTTGACAAGCATAGAAAAACAGTCCTTATTTTTTTTTGCGAAACACTTCTCGCCTCGACATACTTTCATTATTTTCTTGTATTTGTTGCACATTTGCTTCTTGTCGCTACTGTCCTTACCGGGCGCCAATTGATTTTGTCATGATTTTTGACATTTCGACGCCTTAAACGGGATAATCGGAACTCAATATTAACAGTGTGACAACGATGTCTGAAGCAATAGCTGGATGAAACAAATTGACAGTAAACACTAATTAACAATAATTAATATTACAAACAAAAGTGACACTGTACGCAAAAATGACAACTTTAAAAAAAGTTTGTGACCAAGCAAAAAAAATAAAAAATAAAAATAAAAAAAATATAACCAAGATAAATAAACTATAATTGCCAATAACTGCAAAAAAAAACAAGAACGTAGACTTTTCAACTGAATATAGCTGTTAAATGTTGATAGAAAAGAGAGGGAGACAAGTAATGATGAACCTGTTCATACGTCTACAATCATACTGTTAATGTGTTCCAAAATCTAATTCAAATGTCAGCAAGTATTGTTGCGCTGTTTGAAGGAGATCAAACAGAACAAAAAAGTTTATGAATAAGGAAAAAAATTCTGCGGTGTTCTGTCTTCTTAAAGCTGATCTATTTGGGCGGAAGATAAATAGATAGACAACATAGTTTTTTTGCAATAAGGATAATCTTCCACAAAAAGTTTTTATAGTTGAAGAAAAAGAAGCAAAAAGTTCTTGTCCCAAAAGTCTTCTAAACAGCATTTAGTTATTTGCTGTTACTGACTGTTATCGTATTGGTGGTTCAAATTGAAGTTTCAAGCCAATTTTTTAAAAAAATGTTTTTTCTTTTTTTTTTTTTGCCTCTTTCTTTCTTCTCTTCTCTCCTCTCCTCTCCTCTTTCTTCCTTCTCGATGTCCTTCTCTTCTTTCAGATCACACTTAAAATTATAGCGGATTGATAAATGTATCTGATAATAGTTGATAGCAAACGAAAAAAAAAAAAAAAAGACGAGGAAAGATGAGCTGCTTAGGTCAACTTCCTTTTTCTCTTTTTCTTCTTTATCTTCTTCTGCTTCATCGTTTTTTGTTTTGGTTAGACCAATAGGTTTCTACTCATAAATACTTTTACTTTTATTTTTTATTAATCTGACTATGCTGTTTCAGCAGAACATTTTTACCAATAAAACTTTCTGTTACTTTGAATTATATAACACATATATTCATGTTAAATTATTTAAACGTCTTATGACAACAAATGATGATGTGTTACCAAAAATATATTATATATATGTTTTCTAATTCTCACTTTGTTCTTATCTTTTCCTGTTGCTGTTTTTAGCGTTTTTTTTTCTACTATAAACTTACTTGACTGCTATCTTTGAGTGGTATTAGACAAAAAAGAAGTGGCATAATATAAATAACAATACTAACGGCTAGAAGAGTGCTGTTTCTGTTATGCATATTCAGTTCAAACATCAATTTCTGATCTGCACTTTCCTGTCATTGTTTGTTGTCGTCGTTGTTGTTGGCAATTTTTTTTTTTTTTACATGTATTCTATAATTTTTTTCTTTTGCCTTTCACGAACTATTTCCTACAAGTTTCCTGACTTTTGCCATTGCTCTGCTTTTGCCTTTTTTCTATTTTATTCTCCTGCTATTCCTGGCCGTTTAGTCAGTGAGGTATGATTGAACAAAACACAAAATGAGAATATATTGTGTTAACTGAAAGAAAAAATATGGAAAGTCCCAATAAAAGACAAGAGAAAATAAAAGGTAAAATTGTTATAAAAAGAAAATATTTTCTAATCCTTATTAAGCATAAACAATTTTAGTGAATTCAGACAAAAAAAAATAAGCTTAGCTTTCATAAAACTGATTTTTCTTAAACACCCATCTGATTCTCAACGGACGACCAATGGTGTATTTTTTTTTTTTGTTGCAAGCTGCATCAACGTTTTTCAAATTTCAGTGAAATTTTCAAAAAATAACCTTACCATTTTTATCTGAACCTATTATCTTTTGGAAGAAACACATCGGTTGAAAAGAAGAAAATATGAAAAACAAAGAAATATATATATTTATATATACAGAGTGAAAAAATTTTACCAATTCTCTGTTCTATTATTCTATTTTTAATTATTTGTAAATTTACGTCATTTAAAATGTATTTTATAGAGTTGATACGATTAAGTAAGAGTAAAAGTTGGGAGAAGAAGCGCAGGCAGAGAACGGGAGTAAAGGAGGGCAAAGGAGATGGATGACAAGCAGAGGACGGAACGGAAGCGATTTATTTTATGCAGTAACTGTTGTTCTGTTTTGTTCCTCCTTCGCTGATGATTCTGATTATTCTAATAGTTACGATGACGACGATGGCGGCGATAATAATGGTACAGCTACTGCAGGTTATTCTGCTGCTGTTGCTGCAGATACTACTTCTGATGCCAATGATTACAGCAAAGTCTGGTATAAAGAGCAGTGCTAATTTTGGGGAGGGGGAGATAGGAGGGGAAAGGCGGAGGGCTACGAAAGAGTTGAAAAATAAGGGAAGAAGAAATTTCTATCTAAATCTATTTTTTTAATTTGCACTTCATATTGTTTTTTTTTCTCCAATTTTAACTTTCCTTTTTTTTTTTTTCATAAATACTCCATGTTAATGTAGCAATGACGTTACTAGAAATAATCATGATAAAAATAAAAAATAGTGGAAATAATGATAAAGATATAAATATCAGTAATGATGTCGATATTAATACTGACTTTTGCATTAATGTCAATATCAATTTGAATATTAATTTTATTGTCAAATAATAAATATCACTATTAATATTAATATTAATAATAATGCTAAGAGTAATATTACTGTCACTATTAATATTAATATTAATAGCAGTAGTAATAGTAATAATAATAGTAATAGTAATATTTGGCAATAATATTAACATTAATAGGAATATTTGGTAGTAATATTAATATTAATAATATTTAATAGTAATATTACTATTATTATTAGTATTAATAGTAATAGTAACATTTAGTAGTAATATTAATACTATTATTAAATATTACTATTACTATTACTATTATTAATGTTATTAATATTAATAGTAACAGTAATATTTAGTAACAATATTAATATTACTACTAAATATTATTAATATTAAGATTACTACTAAATATTACTATTATTATTAATATTAATAATAATAGTAATATTAGTCTTACTATAAATGTTAAAATTATAAATATCAATATGAATATTATATTAATATTATTACTAAATATTACTAGTAACATTTATATTGATATCAATTTCAACATTAATAGTGAGAGTAATATTTAGTAATAATAATAGTAATTTTACTCTTAATAATAATATCAATATAAGTGAAAATATAAATATAAATATTAATATTATTACCAAATATTACTATTAACATTACTATTAATATTACCAGAAGTGACATAACGTTGTTATTAGTGATATTATTATTATTGTTATTACTATTATTATTATTATTATT